ATTTAGTCTTGGTGGGCTGTATGTTTCTAGGAATATATCTATTTCTTCTAGGTTGTCCAGTTTGTTGGCATGTAATTTTTCACAGTAGTTTCTTATAATCCTTTGTACTTCTGTGGTATTATTTCAACTTCTCTTCTTTCATTTCTGATTTTATTTATTTGAACCATCTCTTTTTTCCTTGGTGAGTTTAGCTAAAGGTCTGTCATTTTGTTTATCCTTTCAAAGAACATGTTCTTAATTTCACTGACCTTTTCTATTGTTTACTTCAGTTTCTATTTCATTTTCTTCTACTCTTATCTTTATTATTTCCTTCCTTCTATTAACTTCGGGCTTTTTTTATACTCCTCTCTAGTTAATTTGGGTGTAAAGTTAGATTGTTTATGTGAGATTTTTCTTATTTCTTGAGATAGGTCTGTATTGTTGTGTACATCCCTTTTAAAACTGCTTTTGCTGAACCCCATAGATTTTGGATTTTTGTATTTCCATTTTCATATGTCTTACTGAATATTTTTAATTTTTTCATTGGCTCATTCATTGTTCAGTAGCAAGTCATAATATCCACATATTTGTGATTTTTTTCCAATTTCTTATAATTGATTTCTAGTTTCATACCATTGTTATCAGACAAGATGTTTGATATGACTTCAGTTTTCTTAGATTTGTTAAGACTTCTTTTCTGGCCTAACATGTGATCTATCTTGGAGAATGTTCCACTTGCCCTTAAGATGTGTTTTCTTCTGTTTTGGATGGAATGTTGTGTATTTATCTATTCTTGCACTGGGCATTGTTTAGGGCAATGTTTCCTCATTGATTCTCTGTCTGGATGATCTATTCATTGATGTAAGTGGGCTATTAGGGTCACCTACTATTATATTGCTGTAAATTTCTTCTTCTAGGTCTATTAATATTTTTTATATATTAATGCACCTATGTTGGGTGAGAAATATTTACAAATGTTGTATCTTCTTTTTGGATTGACTCTTTTGTCATTATAAAATATCCTTGTCTTTTTTACAAATGTTGTTTTAAAGTCTATTTTGTGTGACATAGGTATACTAGTACAGCTTTCTTTTAGTTTCTGTTTGCATGGAATGTGTTTTCCAATCCTTCACTTTAAGTCTGTGTGTCCTTAGATCTGAAGTGAATCTCTTGTAGGGAACATATAGATGAGTCATATTTTTTATCCACTCTGCCACTCTATATCTTTTGACCAGATCATTTATTCTATCTACATTTAAAGTTATTCTTGATAAATATGTATTTATCGGCATTTTGTTGTTTTCTGGCTATTTTATGCAGTTCTCTCTGCTCCTTTATTCTTCTCTTTCTCTCTTCCTTGTGTTTGATGCCTTCTTTAGTGTTATGTTTAGATTTGTTTCTCATTGTTTTTTCTGTATCCACCTAGGTTTCTGCTTTGTAGTTCACATACAAAACTATCAATCTTAAATTGCTAGCAACTTAAAAAAACAGTATTCTAAGAACTATATTTTTACATCCCCCCATGATTTATATTTATGATGTCATATTGTACATCTTCCTATTTTGTGTATTCCTTAACTAATTATTTTACTTATTGTTAATTTTACTACTTTTGTCTTTTAACCATCATACTAGCTTTATAAGTGGTTAATCCACTACTTTACTATCAATTCACCTTTACCAATGATATTTTTTACTTTCATATGTTTTCTTGTTATTTATTAGTTAGTGCCTTTTCTGTTTAAGAAGTCTCTTTAACATTGCTTGTAAGGCTGGATTAGTGATGATGAACTTTAGCTTTTACATGTTTGGAAAATTCTCTCTCTCCTTCAATTCTAAATGATAGTTTTGCCAGGTAGAGCATTCTTGGTTGTAAGTTTTTTTTCTTTCAGCACTTTGAATATGTCTTGCCACAGCTTTCTAGGCAACAATTGTAAGGTTCAGGCCTTTGGAGGAGGGTATAAACCCCTTCCTCGCCAGAGAAGAGTGCAGAGATGGTATCTCCTTACCTACACTCCTTGAGAGCACCTCTATAGTCCCTAGATGTGTAGCAGACTTGAAGCTTGCCCCTCAGGTTGAAGCTCTAAGACAAGTAAATCGTCCTTTCTAACACAGGCAGACTGAGGGTATATTTCAGTCTGCGTTCTCTGCCAGTGCCCTGGATGTGGTAGCCTTCCCTGCCTGTCCCTCCCATTATTAAAGTCCTGTGGGGTCCAGGAATGCTAGCCCCTCTGGACACCAGTGCCAGGGAATTTAGAGGCATCCTGTATCTGGACTGTGCTCACCTGCCAGCTTAACAAGGCTGCAGGGGACTGTTGACAGCAAGGCATGTCCATGGCCCTAGCGATGTAGGGGAAGTGTGCTGGGCTTAGGGACACAAGCTGCTTGAATGATGCAGGGAAAGAGTGCTGGGGGTGGGGCATGCCCATGGATTTGCTTAATTGGCTGCCCTCCTCCAGAGTGTCTTTTATTAAAAATATAATTTTAATAATAAGATTCTTCTGTTTAAATTCTCCCTATTAGAATAAAATCCAAATCCCTTACCATGATCCATAAAGTTCTATAGGATCTAGTTCCTTCTTATTTCCCTGGATTCATGTTCACTCACTCTTCCACACTAGCTCTATTGGAGAAATGATTAAGAATTAATTTGGCTATAAGCAATAGATTATATGACAAACAATAGCCTAAACCACAAGGATACTTTTAATTTACTTACCAAAAAGCCTAGAAATAGGTGAACTCAGAATTGGTCCAAAAGTCAATGTGATCAAGGGCCCAGGCTAATTTTAAGTTACTATTCCACTGACCTTAGTGTGTTGGATTTTGATCCTTATGTTTTTTGCCTCATGGTTGCAGTGTGGCTGCTGCCATGCCATTCTTTCAATCGGCATTCTAGGCAAGAGGAAGGGAGGGGAGAGGAGCTGCATATGTCTTTTTATTAGTAAAATAAATGTTTTCCCAAAATTTTCTTATGTCTCATTTCTCCAGAGACTTCTCTATAAATCTTACTGCTTCGAAGTAAGCTCGTGGCCAACTCTGGCAACAGGACATATTGGGAAAGCGCTTATATAACTTTCAACCCCCTGTGTTGGGAAGAGGCAGGGAATAAAGGAACTGTCTACTGGATGAGCCAGATACTCTGTCACACTGGCCTTCGCTCTATTCCATGAACATACCAAGCTAATTCTTCCTTTAAGACTTTTGCATAAGCTATTCCCACTGCCAGGAATGTTTTTCCCCATAACTTTCATGAATTCTTCCTTTTTGTCAGCCAGATCTCCAAATTTCACCCCCTTTAAGAGACTCTCTCCGATTACTCTGCCTGAAATTGTCCCCCTATGTAAAAACCTAGTGCTACTCTCTCTTTCATTATATCACCATATTTTTAATGCACTTAGAATAAAAAGGATGGCCGAATGGAAGAGCAATTACTTCTTCCCCCTCCAAAGATGGTGAAATACAGAAGAGAAATTACACATTAGCTAAAAAAGAAAAATAGAAAATGAAAAAAAAGTTACCTTCCATTTAATCAAATATCCACACCACCCATGTCCATTAGTCTCCCACCTCCCCCTTCATATTATCCAATTTCCCTTCCAGAGCTGGAAGTAACTGACCATTCTAGGAGTGTTGAGCATATGACACAGAGACTGCCTGAAAAGGTGGTGCTCAGGGCTGATCTATTGCCAGGGAGTAATTATTTCAAAAGGACAGCTTGCTTCTGGCATTATATGCTAAAATTGAGAATCTTGACTTTTCTGCCTCCAAAGCCTAAATGTTTGGCATGAATAGTAGAAATCTGGCATTTTCAATGCTCGTATGTCCAAAAGCTGAAGAACTGGAAAACACTAGGAGTCCCAAATTGGTGTCCACTTTGGATTATTTGGCCCAGGAAAATGTATATTCTCATGCTGCAGGAAGTTGGTTTGCAAAACGAAGTCTGAATCAGAGCCAAAAAAGCAAGCACCATTTGCCAGACTGTAGATGAAATATGAGAGTTTGCTGCACAAAGTTTCTTTTTGAAAGTTATTTGCAGCTGCCATGACACATCTTTAAAGTTGTAATATGCAGAACTGTTATTTAGGAATTCCAATGGAGGGAAACAAATCTCACTTGTTTATATTTAAACATGATGTAGTGAGATACTAAGGGATATATATAAACATTATAGATTGGACAAAGCAATGTGTTTGAAATACGGCTCAAACCAAAGCACAAACTTAAATAGTACAGAGCTAAAGCAGAAATGTTCATTTTTATAGAAAAGCAATATTTACTATTATCCTTCTTAACAGACTTTCTTATGGTGTGTTTAGAGAAAATACATTGTTTCAGAAAGTGTTTAAGTCAAAGCAATATGATAATGGATCTCCATTGCTTTTAAAAGGAACAATTCTTAACAGATATAATAGCCTTAATTACACTTTCTATTCACTTTGAAGAAAAAAGCATAAGTGCAGAAAATCATTATGTGAAATCTACTGGTTAAAAACAAAACCATTAAACATTTGATTTGAAAAGTTAGAAACTATGTATAACCAAGACTAAACTATTAGATTAAACTTCAATAAGCAGATAGGAAACAGAGGGTGTTTGCAGAAGTGAAAAATACAAATAAAAACAAAAAGAAAAAGGTAAGTTAATAAGAAGTGAAATGCAGAACATAAAGGGGAGAGGTTTTAATACTATTTTTCAGTTTATTTTATGTGAGAACAACTGATTGTCAAGATGCAATTTCCAGTGTTGAATTTTCTATTTTTTGGTGACATTCATAGTAATTTAAGGTACAAAGCATAGAGGTAAATGGTTTATTTCAATTAAAAAAATGTGATTTAGTAACCTGTCAAATCCATAAGCATATTTGGAGAGATGGTAGTTAATGGTAGAAACAGATTTAAAGTTCTTTAATCCCTATCTAGTTGACTGACAACACAATCCCACCCACTGATTGTTGCTGTTTCCATGAGATTGTGTGAACTGCAGGAATACAAGCTTTTGGTGAGAATAAAGCCACTAACCTGGGCTGATTTGCTTCTTATGATGACTCCATATTGTTTTTCACCTTGAAACACAAAAAAGCAAACACTTAGCTCTGGAGCCAGACTTCATGGGTTCAAAACTGGTTGTCCCACTTATTTACCATGTGACCTTTGATAAGTCATTAAACATCTCTTCCCAGTCTCCCCAGGTGTATAATAGAGGTAGTACCAGTAATGCTGACACAAATGCACAGATAAGGATTAAACAAGATAATAGAAGTACAGTGCTTAAAATGGTACCTAGAATTCAGAATTCTCAATAAGCTACAGCTATTATTATGATTACCTTATGCCATGTAACTGATTGGGGAACAAATATGAATAAATAAATGTAAATTGAATCCACTTCCCCTGTACCCACATAAACAAAGCACATTATCCTCCAATCTAACCGCAGCCTGTAATTATGGCACAGACAGTAAGACCTTACCAAATAGTCTACACAATTGACCAAATGTAGTCCCTACATTTGCCAGCCTGACTTGCAGATAATTGGGGGCATGTGGCTATGATCTGGTCAGTGTTTAGGAGAAAGTAACAGATGCCTTGTCCAGATCTGCCCATGAAAGCTCCAGCTCTCTCTGAGGGAAAGAGGCCATGTGCTCCGGATGGTAGTTCCCCAATGAAGGACAGCATTTCAACCTACATCAGACTTTCCATGAATGGGAAATCAACCTTTGTGTCTTAAACCACTAAAAACTTATAGTTTGTTTCTTACTGTAACATTGCCTCACATAATCCTCATTACCACAGTAATCAAAATGATGCATAGCTCCTTGGTAAAGGGATTAATAAAATGGAACAAAACCATGTGATGCTAGTCCCTGAATAATGTTCACGGAAGTCTGCTATCTCAAATTAAAGAAGATTCAAAGCCTCTTTCTCTTCTTAATTTCCCAGTACTGTGGTCAGTTCTGATCCATAGTACTTTTATTTTATACCCAACATGGTATGTTCTGTTTCAAATCTGAGGGGCATGTTTACTATGGCCTTAACTCTCTGGACTGTTTTCTGGTGCTAAACATTGAAATAAAGAAACAACTAATGAATATCTGTTGATTCCTTTGATTGGAAGATCAGAACATAAAAGAGCTGTTTGAGATACTAAGCTAGACTTCAGGTGGCAGTGGTGATGTTACAGTTTGGCACTTGTATCCTTCAAGGGCCCACTCCTCCCCCTTAATCGTGCCTCACCAGTTAAAATTTATCTCAGTATTTCCTCCTTTTATAAGCATTAGGCAAGATATTATCCTATTGTTTCATATGTTTATTTGAGTCACTAGCGGATTTATGTTTAATGAAAAGATAGATGCACTCTGATGAAACTAAATTGTTAACTTCATTTGACAAGTTCCTTAAGGATGTCTTGCTCTTTAAAGTTCTAAAAAGCAGTGATAAAATACAAATACAAAATTATCTGAAGAAAGACCAAAGGTCTCCCTTACCCTAAAAGGCTGAGCACATATGTAAAAACAAAACAAAACAAAACAGTGGACTGGAAATAAGAAGTCAAGGACCAAAGCTGTAATGATGGCATGAAGGTTGATTTGTATGTTCTAAGGTTTTTAAGGGCAGACATTGATAGATCAGAGATTTGCCTTGGGGATTATAATGGGCCTATAATCTAAAGTACAGGAACTCTTTTAGGGAAGGAAGAATATAAAAGGAATTATCCTGAAAGCCTCGTGGATAAGGATGTTTTTAATGTTCAAGACAAAATTTTTTTAAATGTTGCCAGGTCTATTTTTTATAACATTATTCAATTAAAAGTTCTAAGAGCTGCATTTGCAAAGTTATTTATATACTATAATAGGACTCAAGCAGTTATGAGCCAGGGCCTCTGATATTTTAGTGAAAAGGCCAAGGTATAGTCATCATTATTCATGTAAGATTGTGGATTTTATAAACAGAAATAAAAAAGAAAGGAAGAAAATACTTTAAAAGAGTAAAGTATTTTGAATGATAAAAAACACTGCTTTATGCTATTCCCTTGAGTATTCATACTGCTGAATAGAAGGAGGAAAATATGTCACTAGATAATTTTTATAGTCCTTTTCTACCTGAAGAGCAGTAATTTTGTAAGATGTGTAAAAAGAATTGCTTGCTTGTTTGTTTGCTTTTAGGTTAAATTTGCTTTGGTAAAATAGTAAATATATTAGTAAAATGAAGTGGAGGAATTGAATGAGTGTGCAGATATTTTTGTCTTTTTAATAGCAGTTGTCACCCAAAAAATTGAAATGAATTAGTCTAAAACATTTTTAAAATAGCTTTGTAAAATAAATTATAGAGCAAAGTTCAGCTGTTACCTAGGCAGGAGATATCTATGTGGTGAGCTACCATAAAACTTAGGATAAAGGAACTTTCATTGCTGGTATAAATTACCTAGCTTTTCTGCTGACATAGCATCTTTTCATTGTACCTCTGAGGATGTAAGTTACAGGAAATTACACAGTTCTTTGGGGATATTCTAAGCACTGACTTTCTCATGAGGTATACTTCATTTGTAAGTTCTATCTGTTTAGGAATTTATTCTTGTTAGTCTATACTAGACCATGCTTTGCACAATCATTTCACATTTTATTTGTCTTCTGTATGTGAATCTTGGGAAGCAAATTATTCTAAAGCTTGTGCACTGTGATGGTTAATTTTATGTAGCAAATTGGCTGGGCCATAGAGTGACCAGATATGTTGTCAAACATTGTTCTGAATGCTTCTGGGAGGGTGTTTTTAAGTGACATTAGCACTTAAGTTGGTGGGCTTTGCTTAAAGCAGCCTGGCTTCCACACTGTGGGTGGGCCCCATCCAATCAATCAAAGGCCTGAAGAGTAGACTTCCCAGAGCCAGAGAATTTTACAGCACACCGTCCTCATATTGGAGCTACACAATCCTCTCTTCTGGGTCTCCAGCCTTCTACCCACCTGAGCTTGCCAGCCTCCATTTCATATATATGATAACAATAAGGAAAGAAGTTTCTATTGTAAATATCTGAAGAACCATCATAGCATAAACTCCTAGAAGGTCGCTCTCTGTTTAGCTTTCTCGGAAAAGAGTCCTACCCACGATCAGATGAGCATATCCTTAATAGGTGCTCCCATTCATAGCATACATATTCTCCTTCTGTGCATTTCTTTAATAAAGAGAAAAAAAGGTAGGGGAAGTAGGAGACAAAGTTAGAAAGCTAGGCTCTACAATACCAGTTGAACAATGTAAAGATAGTTAGAGAATTATAGAATCAGGACAGGCACATGTTATCTTGAAAAGCTTCAGGTCGCCAACCAAGGGAATATTCCAAAGGTGGAATCCAAGTCAAAAAACCTTTAGGAAAACAGAATGACTAGGGTGATGAATGTGCTAGAAATGGAAGAAAATCCTAGAATTGAGGTATGTGTTTTCTCATTCAACAGACATTTATTAAATATATACTGTGTGTTAAGTACAATGTTATTTGCTGAAGTACACCAGTTTTGAACTTGGATTGACAGGCCTCACGTGAGGACAACATAGATGTAATCTGCCTCTTCATTCGCTATGAAGAGACAGCAAATTCACAAGTCATCACCAGTACTCCACTTCAACTTTTAAAAGCACATACGTTCTTCAGACTCTTATAAGCAAGAATATGTGATATGTGTTTTAAAAGTATTTCTCCCATCTGAATTTTTGGTTTTAAAGGAACAGTAATTTAAACCAAAGAGAAGGCTGGAAAAGAATGATAACTTCACGGGAAGGAAAAAGGAAACAGACAAGGAACAGAAAGAAGGAATAACACAGGGCAGAGAAAGAATATTCAGACCTCATTCTGCTTGAATACACTCAGTATATACTTAGCTATTCTACCCAAATAGGCCCAAAGACACGAGGATAGGTATCCTAAATTTGCTCTGAAAGATTTATGTAGGCAATTGTTTTTTATTTTTGGGGTGTGCATGTATGTCTATAGCAATTAAATTCTAATTTTATTTGCAAGTAGTAAGATTTAACTTTGCTTGAAGATATCTAAAGAAACAACAAAGACAGGGGAATAATGAAATTCAAGTGCTTTGAAATTTAAAGTTTTCTCCTAAAGAATGTTTATATCAACAAGAAAATCAAAACGCAACTGGAAATATTTAGAAAATAACAACAATAATAAACAAAAGACTGTTAAATAAGCCAAAATTTTACTAAAATGAAAATTGATGGCCTTAAACATGTTTATGTCCCAGCAAGAAAAAAATAAAAGTGAATTAAAATTTAAACAAGAAGTTAAAAAAACTACAAAATGTTCATAAAGGAACAACATAAAGGACTTGATAAAAACAGAAATAAACTTTTTAAACTATAAACAGAAACTTTAGAAATAAATCTAAATGCACATGGCTTTAAAAAGAGGTAAATAAAACATTTGCTAGCAAACAAAAGTGTTTGTTATATTTATAAATTTAAGAATGAGAAAATAACCATATACATAAAAAAATCAAAAGAATTAGCAGTGCATAGTGACATACTATTATTTTAGTAAACAGAGTTTCCTAGAACACAAATTTCCAAAACTAACAAAATAAGACAAATGATGGCAAGAAACAATCCACTAAAAACAAAGTCAAACATGAATAATAAACTAGGTAAAAATTGCAATAGCTAAGACAAAGTATTAGTGCTCCTAAAATACAAAGATTTATAAGTTTATATGAAAAAGACAACTAAAAAATGATCAAAGGATATGCACAAGCATATGAAAATATGTTTAACTCATTAGTAATTAAAGAAGCACACATTAAAACAACAGTAAGATTTTTTTGCATTGGAATTTTTAGTAAATAATACTGTTGATAAAAGTGTGAGTTTTTACAACCCTTTGTGAGGGTAAAGAAGCAGTGGCTGTTAACATCTTGTACCTGCATAAATTTGGTCTACCTGTTTGACTTCTCAGGAATTTATTCTATGGAAACTTTGTGCACAAAGATATATTTATATATATAATGATGCTACCAATAGTGAGAAATTGAAATCATCAACAGTTGTGAATAAAGTTACAGTACAT